TGAAATAAGGATTTAACAACTGCTACTACATTACAGCACGTGGAAAAGAATCACAACCTATGGTTGGGAGATATGGAAAGCCAGAAGAAACCTGGGTCCTCGAGAACTTTGTGGAACCGCCAACCTAACTGGTAGGATACTCAAAGGTACATCAGGACTCCCACAAATCTCGGGGGGGCTCGTGCACGTGGTAACTCTCCCCGGGGGAAACAGAAATGACATCGATAAACTAGTTCTTTTACTATCAGAAAGTTCCACTAAGCCAGTAAGTGGCACTAAGGTGGTCAGGATAAAGGACTTCCATCTGCACAGCTGCCTGCAACAACTGATCCCCTTGAACACTCCTCACATCACAAGAACCCTGACTGATATTTTCTCATTCACTTGTCAAGTCATCTGAATTTACGATTTAGCTCTATGCTGACTCTCACATAAGGTAGTAGATTGGACCAATGACTACTGTCAACCCGATGAAGGTCCTGCCTTACACCAAAAAGAAAGCAGCCTGCCCCTAACAAAGTTTGTACTAATCTGATTCCCATTAGGAGAGGCAGCTTATCTCTGTAAAGGACAGAGGAGGGCTGGAAAGAAGATAAGAGCAGATTTAAGTAAGATTTACTAACTCACTGCCTCATGCCAGGAGCCATGCTGACGGTTCTCATAAATATTATCTCATCAAATTTGTACAATCCCTCTTCCAGGAGGTAGGTATTCTACTGAATCTAAGATGATTATCTATGTTACATACAGATTGACTCACACTGGGTTATTTCATTTTATTATATCATTTCATCCATAAATATATCAGAATGAATTTCTGAAAGATAATAGCTTTTAAAAAATAACAGCAATACCATATCACATCTAAAAAATCAACATTAATTCCTTAATATCCTCAAATACCCCCAACTGTTAGTTCGTTTGGACAAGGATCCTAACGAGGTACAAATTTTATTTGATATGTCTCAAATCTGTTATTTCCTAGGATACTCCTCCTTCTTTTCTCCGTGCAATTCGTTTGTTAAAAGAACTGGGTTGTTTGCCCTGTAGAACTCCCCACACTTTGGATTTTTGTGCTTTTATCCTGAGAGTGTCATTTAACATGTTCCTCTGTCCTCTGTATTTCCTGCAAACTAGCAGGTCTAACTGGAGACTTGATCAGATTCTGGTTCAGTTTTCTAACAAGGATCCTTTACAAGTGGTGTTCTTCCTATTGCATCCTTTTGTGGTGTAAAGGTTGATCAATAAGTTCAGGTGTCATCAGCCTCACCCATTCATCAGAAAATCCCCCATTAACTTCCTTTCATCTGATAGATTTAGCTATCACTGATGATCTTTACTTAGATCCAATCTATCATTAGGGATTATTAAATGATGACATTCTTTTTTTTTTTTTAAGATCAGGTTTACTGAGGTATAATTTGTACAGAATAAAATTTATCCTTTTAAGTAAATAATGTTGAGTTTTGGCAAATGTATGAAGTCATGCAATTACCACAAAAATCAAGATATAGAACATTTCCATTACTCAAAAAAGTTCTTCAGTAAATCCCTTCATTCCATTCCCACTTCCCGGCAACCAATGATCTGTTTTCTGTTCCTAGAGTTTCAGCTTTTCTAGAATGTCATATAAGTAGAATCTTTTTTGTTTTGGTGAGGAAGATTGTCCCTGAGCTAACATCTGTGCCAGTCTTCCTCTGTTTTGCATGTGGGATGCCGCTACAGCATGGCCTGACGTGAGGTGTGTCGGTTCACAACTGGATCTGAACCAGCAAATCCTGGGCCACTGAAGTGGAGCATGTGAACTTACCTACTACACTAACGGGCTGGCCCTGGGAATCTTACCCTGTGTAATGTTTTGTGTCTGGCTTCTTTCACTTAGCTTAATGCTTTCAAGATTCATCCATGCAGTGTGTATCAGCAGTTCTGTTCTTTTTTATTACTGAGTAGAATTGAATGTATAGATGTACCACAATTTGTTTATCCATTCATCAGCTGATGGACATTTAGGTTGTTCCCAGTTTTGAGCTATCATGAATAAAACTGCTATGAACATTACTGCACAGTTTTCTGTAGGGGGCTTAAGTTTTCAATTCTCTGGTAATTGGTTAGAAGAAGAATTCTGCATGGTGAGTGTGTATTTATAAGAAACTGTCGACTGTTTTTCAAAGTGGCTGTACTATATTACATTTCCACCAATAATGCGTGAGCATTCTAGTTGTTCCACATCCTCATCTTTATTCGGTACTGTTAATCCTTTTTTATTTTAGCCACTCCAGTACATGTGTAGTGGTAACTAACTGTGGTTTTAATTTGCATTTTCCTAATAACTAATGATTGAGTATCTCTGCAAATGCTTATTGGCCAATTGTATGTCATTTTTGGCGAAGTATTTATTCAAATGTTTGGTACATTTTTAAATTACATTGTCTGTCTTATTATTGAGTTAAGCATTCAAATGATCATCTTAATTCTATAGTCTTTCTACATTTAATAGTGGCAATTCTATAAGGGAGTTGTCTGTCATCAGTTATTTTCTAACCTTGAGGTATAATTTGTACAGGGAACAGGATGAATGCTTGATTCTTCTTCACTATTTATCAGTTTTATGAATACTGATTTGGTGCCCTACTGTCATCTAAAAGGGACTACTAAGTTTCTTGTTGAGATTATCATTATGGCCTCATGGATTTTAACATATTTTAGGTATCTCAATCATTACAGCTTTATTCTTTTCGAGGATCAAATGATCCCATCTTTGACTAGCTGGAAGCCTTTCAAGTTGGTTCCTGAGTCCTTCTGAAATGACGACAGTAGTCTTGACAGTTTCTTTGCTTTCTGACATGACAAGATTTTCTGGCTCCTCTTATACATTTCCTGCCTGTTAGTAAACAGTTTGGCCTTACCCAGAGAGGTCTGGCCTTTGCCCTTGGCTTCTGGGAGATAATCTCAATTCTAGGAGGCAATGTCATATCAGATAGAAATGTCTTTGATTAGCGGGGGAGCTTTGGGTCATGTGGTATTGGTCAGCTTGGAGACTGAGATCAGTCATTTGAGCAATCCATCAACCAATCATGCTTAAGTAATGAACTCCAATAAAAACTCTGAACACTGAGGTTCAGGTGAGCTTCCCTGGTTGGCAATACGCCATGCGTACTGTCACACATTGATGCTAGGAGGGTAATGTGTCCTGACTCCATGGGGAGAGGACAACAGAAGCTTCGGGTTTAGAACCCTCCCAGACTACGCCCTTTCCATCTCTTATTTTGGCTGATTTTAATGTGTATCCTCTCCCTGTAATAAACTACAACCATAAGTATATAGCTTTTTGTGGATTGTATGAGTTCTTCTAGCAAATTACTGAAGCTGAGGGTAGTTTTGGGAACTCCCTGAACTTGCAGTTGGTGTAAGAAGTGAGGGCAGTCCTAGAGACTGTGACTTCTAACTTGCAGTTTGGCTAACCCTAGACACTGCCTAGGATCTGCGATCAATTATTTCTCTAAGAATCTCTGTCTTCTTTCAGTGACAAATGGCATTTATATACCAAAATCTGGGTGCCAGGGGTACTTACTGCTACTGAGTGGGTAGTCATTATTTCTAGGATTTTTCCATGAATAGAACTAGAAAAAGCTTTTCTCTCTTCCTTTTAAAGAGAAAATGTAGCACGATTTCACACTGATATTTCTAACTCAAATTTAGGATTATAGGTTCTTACGTCTTTGATTTTTAAGTTTGTATCTCTTTTACACAGAAAATCTTGATATCTAAAGCAAATAAATATTTACTTATTTGTTTTATCCTACTATATAATATTTCCAGAATAACGGTATCAATATTATTACTAACAATATGATAACTGGAAACAATTTAAGATTTCTTTGTAGCTCTTTTTTGTCTTTTGGAAATAAAGACAAATTTCAAATTGGTTGAAAGAGTTTCTCTATGTGTGGCCAAGCCATCCACTAAAAGGCTTACTGAGGTCCATTTGTTTTATTTTGTTTGCTTTTTAGGGATTACCTTTTCTCTCTATTTATTTAACTCTGTTTCATATTTTATGTAAACCATGTGCATGGTTCTAAGAGTCAAATCTACAGAATAAGGTATATTCAGAAGTCTAGCTTATACTTTTATCCCATTTTTACATTTTACTCTTTTTAATGGCCCACAGTACTCCACTGTAGTGAATTTTAAATTGTAGATAAAAGATCTAAAATCAGCATACATATACTGAATGTGATGCTATTGCTAAAGTAATGCTTAAAAGAGTAGAGTTGATTCTTAAGGATAAGTTCTTCCTTTGTTTACATTATTAAATTTTTTTTTTAAAGATTTTATTTTTTCCTTTTTCTCCCCAAAGCCCCCCAGTACATAGTTGTATATTCTTAGTTGTGGGTCCTTCTAGTTGTGGCATGTGGGACGCTGCCTCAGCGTGGTTTGATGAGTAGTGCCATGTCCGCACCCAGGATTTGAACTGACGAAACACTGGGCCACCTGCAGTGGAGCGCGCGAACTTAACCACTCGGCCATGGGGCCAGCCCCTATATTATTAAATTTTAACAAGCTCTATTTTGTATAGAAACTGCAAAGGTAAACTTTAGCTCTACGTGGCTGAACTGTCACATAAAATACTTAGAATTAGATTTTTTGAAGTAAATTTTAATTTACTAAGGACTCTAATTAAAACAGCAATTCTTAAACAATGAGTACTGATAGAATATTACGCTCACCCAGGTGGCGCAGTAGTAGCTACACGTCTCCTGGGGACTTGTAAACCACAGGGATGGTAAAACCATGACAGGTGTAGTCCATGCATGCTCCCTACCCACTTCCCATTATGTGAGTTCCACAGCCAACAGCCCTCAACAGTATCTTCCTCCACCATTTGCCTCTGAGCGATTTCCTCTACACCCATGGTTTTATATCCTATCTACATGCTAAAGAAGACTTGTCTCATTAATTTGCTTTTTTTGAGCTTGAAGGAAGATTACTCAAGAACTTACCAACCCATAGGTCCCATTGTTTCTGCTCTTGTTTTCCCACGTTTTGCCTCTTTAAGTAGTTCTTCTATTGCTTTCCTGATGGGAAAAAGGAAGAAATTTGAGAGAGAATCATTCCACTAAATTCTGAAAATCAATTCATTCCACATACACGATCTGGTGAAAGGAACAGCTTTTGAGGCATAAAATTTCAAAACTGGGGGAGAAATTTTTTTTTTTTTTTTTTTTTTTTTTTTTTTTTTTAAAGATTTTATTTTTTCCTTTTTCTCCCCAAAGCCCCCCGGTACATAGTTGTGTATTTTTCGTTGTGGGTTCCTCTAGTTGTGGCATGTGGGACGCTGCCTCAGCGTGGTCTGACGAGCAGTGCCATGTCCGCGCCCAGGATTCGAACCGACGAAACACTGGGCCGCCTGCAGCGGAGAGCGCGAACTTAACCACTCGGCCACGGGGCCAGCCCCTGGGGGAGAAATTTTTAAAAATTAAAAATACGTTTGATAGCTGTCAATACATAAAAATTTTAAAACTTTTTATATGAATGGGAAAAATGCTCAAAGAAAATTAAAAGCAAAATGACAAACTATATCCATATTAAAATATTTAAATGCACTATTATTCTAATAAATACTAATTAACCCAACAATGATAAATCTGTTTCTGCTCATCAGTTAGTGAAGGAGTAAAGAAATGGATATTCTTTTCTCTACTAACGGAGACTGAAGCTGACATAATAGTTTTGGAGGACAATTTAGCAACATGATAAAAAGCCTTAAAAATAATACATCCTGGGACCGGCCCTGTGGCCAAGTGGTTAAGTTTGCATGCTCTGTTTTGGCGGCCCAGGGTTTCACTGGTTCAAATCCTGGTTGTGGACATGGCACTGCTCATTAAGCCATGCTGAGGCGGCGTCCCACATGCCACAACTACATGCCACAACTACATGCCACAACTAGAAGGACCCTCAACTAAAAATACACAACTATGTACTGAGGGGCTTTGGGAGAAAAAGGAAAAATAAAATCTTAAATAATAACAACAATAATAATACATCCTTGTTGACCTAAAAATGCCAATCCTAAGAAAATATTCAAGTAAATAGCAAAACTATATGTACAAAGATACTCATTAAACAACTTATTAACAACTAAAGAAAAAGAATAGAAAGCTTAAATGTTTACTAAAAAGGATTGGGTAAATAAATTATGGCATATCCACATAGCAGAAGATTAGGTAGTCATTAAAAAGGAAGACGAATACTTGGCACAGAAAGACATTCATGGCATATTTAGTATCTAAAACTGGATACAAAACAGTGTGTACAGGATAATTTTATTTTAAATTTATTTACATGTATATATTGCATAAGAAAACATTTGGAGGGATGTAATCAAAATGGTAAGAGTGATTTTTTTTGTTTGCTTCTCTGCATTTTCTATTTTTTCTAGAGTGAATCTGTATTATATGTGTAATTTTTAGAAAGAGATTTAAAAAACTGAGAAAACTTATTTATCAACCATAGTCTGAGACTTTACTATGTGTAAGATACTGTGCAAGGTGCTAGGGCAGTAAAACAAGAAGATGCTCATCCCTGACTTTAATACTACTTATGACATCGAAATAATAAAGTTAGGAAAAAGAGAGGTATAAAGTTGAAAACAAATATAGTACAAAGACAGAACTATAAATCTAATCACAAGGTTTTGAAGCTGGATAATTATATATTGATTCTATATAAAAACATTTAATTACACTACTATAGTACTAATATAGATAATACTTACATAATCCTCAAATGATATTAACATTCTGTTAGTTTATAAAAATGTTTTATTTTATATTGATTTTTATTTTATCAAAGCATGCACATAGCTTAAAAGGACAAATATTACTTAAAGACTTACAATAAAATACAGCAGTTTTACATATTATCCTTCCCTATCCACCAAAAAAGACAATTTTAACTCTTTTTTATCTGTTTCTCCTGGTTATTTACCTCCATATTTCTAATATAGGCTTTCTAACTATTTCACCGCCTCTTAATCTTCAACAGATATATCTGGTTATTTTTCTATAACTTATTCTTTTTTAAAATAAATTCCTATTAATGGTGAGATCTTTAAAAAACGACTTTTAGCTAATTCTGCAGCTTGACACTTCTGTCCATCCTGGGAGGCCCACTGACAGGGTCAATGAAGAAGCGAAACACTTACTGACAACTGTGCGCCTTCTCACCCCCTGGACCCGCCAGTCAGATTATGTTCCCAGACCAGCTCACGGTATCACGAAGGGCTAAGAGCATCTGATCACCACATACCCTCCTTCTTCTACCTCCTTAAAATAATAATACAGCCTACTGACGTGATCTCAGGGTTTTGTCTCGCACAGTAGTTCATGAAAAATTTATCCCATCCAGCTCCAAAACAGAGATCCTTTTTCACCTTTATAGATGTAAGTAAAAAAAACCAAAGGGCAAAACTGTTCCAGATATTGCCCCCTTCCCATCAATTAGTGTGGCAGTTTCCAAAGAAAAACAGGTAATCAATCACACTTGGATCTATATCTACCCATGTGCTCTCTCTCCTGGCGACAGAAACAGTTAAAAATCATCAGGGAAAAAACTTGTTTGGGCAGTTCCACAATTATGAACAAACTATGTATCAGTTAAAAATAAACTAGAATGCTTTTTCCCATAAAAACCGTGTTAAAATGTTTGCCTAGCTTTCCGGACCAGCCTATAAAAGCCTATTTGTGTTGTAATATACATGAAATGCTGTATATCTGCAGCAAACGATACCCAGGCAAGCACCTTACAGAGATCCTGCAGGCACATTCTAGGCAACTTCAAGAACTATGAAGTGTGACACTGATTCTTCTGTAGGTTTGATTTCACTTAAAACTATCTCCAGCACTGTTATTAACTTGGCCATGATTAGGGATACCTCCTGATTTACAACTACAACCAAGGAGAAAAGAATGTATAAGTACAAGGAAGACTACCTGGAGTGAAATGAATTCACCAGTGATGAAAGATGGTAAGAGGTGGGGCTCAGACAAGGTGGTACTGGCATTCAGTCAGCCATCTTCTCCCAGGTAAAGATGGCTTAGTTACAGTCCACAGCAAGCAGGGAGGCAGTGCCCCATTCCTATCGTTGGGGTGTAGTCAGGTTAGGTATTTGTAATTGGTTTAGCAACAACTAATGTCAGTATGGAGCTTTACGATTTCAAGTACTCTCCTATCTGAGTTATCACGCCCAGTTTATAGATGAGGAAAGCGGTACTGGGGGACACTGATTAACTCGCCAAAGGCAACACTCTAACGATTGGAGAAGAGGAGGAAGAGGAACAAAACAAACAAACCAAAAGGACCCATGTGTTTAAGCCTACATATCCTCTGATCTTTCTATTATACTTCCTATCTCTTCCACAAACATTTACACAGCAAGTCCTGGAGAAGTCCTTTCCTCTTTACCATTAAAAAGCAAAAAATGAAATAAATGGGGAAAAAAGGCCTAACCGAGCCGCCACTGCTTCTGCACCGCTGCAAGGAGAACTGGGCAACAGGCTGATAGTGGAGAGGCGGAAGGAATGAAGGAGGACTGCTCACTATTTTCTCCCAGGAATGTTGAACATTCGCTACCTCCCACCCCAAATTCTCCGGCACAAGCTCCTCCTGCAGGGCATTACTTCCAAACAGGAAAACAACAATCTCTAGCAATCATGTATTCTGTCCTTGAAATAACAATATCACCTTCAAAGTTGAGGGGAAAAAACTAGAAAGGTAGTTTTCCTCACTACTGTAGCCTCTATTGTTTTTCCTGGAACTCTCGCTAATGAATTCTTGAGTAAGGAAATAGCAAATCCAGTTTCTAATGCACATTATCACAGAGGCTAAATACTTAAGTTATCGAAGATTATGAAACATCAACATCATGAAACAAGACAGTTTTTAATGAGATGATGAAACAAAAGTGTAAAGTGCAATTAAAACATAGGAAAAGCAAACAGTAGGAGAATATATAAGAACTAAGTACGTAGAGAACTCGAACAATTAAAACATCATTCGGACATAAATTTATTTCTAGGTACAGTAATTTTATGCTTAGATACCTTAAACATCTTAAAGGTTTCTTTGTAAAACACATACATTATATTAGAATATGAAGTTTAACACAAACAAGAAGTCCAACAAAGCTAGGTCATTAGGCAGACAGGTTTTTGGGCACAGGAACAAACTGCAATCAATTTTCAATGATCCATGTGTGTATCATCTACAGCCAATTTTTCATCCTAGCTCAGCTTCCTCAGGCCTGCCTACTCATTCCATTAGCCAGCTGGTACATGCTTAAGGAATGTAAACTGATCATAATAGCAGCTTAAATAAAACCCAAGTGGGAATGCAAATCTGGTGCAAAATCATCTTAAATCCAAAGTCAAACAAATTAGTTTTGAGTTATCTGGGTCTCTGTTTCTTTTTACTCACATAAATCAACTGAGAGTTAACTATATCAGTATATAGAAAGGGTAGCTAGAAATTGAAGACAACTAAAATGAAACAACAGAAGTTGAAAGGTAAATAAAGAACATAAGAAAATGAGATTTTTAAAGGAATAAAATTAGAGAAAATAAATATCAAGTAATTGTTCAAAAAAGACAGAGAGACAGAGAGTTAGATGGACCTACATACATTTTCTTGAGAAATGGTGAAGGAAAGTGTTCCGGGCTGAATGCTGCGTCTCCCCTAAATTTATGTTGAAATTCAAACTGTCAATGTGATGGTATTAGGAGGTGGGTCATTTGGGAGGCTGTTAGGTCATCAGGGTGGAGCCCTCACGAATGGGATTAGTGCCCTTAAAGAGACCCCAGAGAGCTCTCTCACTCTTTCTGCCACATGAGGACGCAGGGAGAAGACAGCCATCTCTGAACCAGGATGCGGGCCCTCACCAGACACTGAATCTGCTAGCACCTTGATCTCAGATTTCCAGCCTGCAAAACTGTAAGAAATAAATGTTTGTTGTTTAAACAACGCAGTCTGTGGTTATTTTTGTTACAGCAGTCTGGATGGACTAAGAGGGATGAACATA